ATAAAAAATAAAATAAAATGAAAAGAAAACTGTTCACCTTTACATCTATCTGCTGTCACTGCTATATACCTGGCTAGGGAATCAGTTCAGTTTCCCTCTTATTGGTACAGGAGTTTGTCCTAAAAATGCTATGAAAAATATCTAATTTGGGCTGGGGAGATAGCCCAGCAGCACAAGCTCTAGCCTGGAGAGCACAAGGTCATGAATTTGATTTCCAGTATCAAAAAAGAACCCCAAAACAAAACAGAAGCAACTCAAACAAAAGAACCCCTAATTTCAACATCCCTTTATGAATACCTCCAAAAAATTAAATATGCAATCATTAGTACTACTTTTACTCAGCACTCATTTATGTATTTAATGCTCACAGAATAAAGCTTTTAGTAACAAGTATAAAGAGCTGGAGGATGGAGATCTCCCATGGTTCCGCCCGGCTCGGGTCCTTCCGCCACAGCAACCATTGAAAAAGAGTAGCCATGGCCCTCCACTATCCCATGGCCATGGGCCTCAACAAGGGCCACAAGGTGACTAAGAATGTGAGCAAACCGAGGCACAGCCGCCACCGCGGACGTCTCACCAAACACACCAAGTTCATGCGGGACATGATCCGGGAAGTGTGCGGCTTCGCCCCCTATGAGCGGCGCGCCATGGAGCTGCTCAAGGTCTCCAAGGACAAGCGCGCCCTCAAGTTCATCAAGAAAAGAGTGGGGACGCACATCCGCGCCAAGAGGAAGCGTGAGGAGCTGAGCAACGTGCTGGCCGCCATGAGGAAGGCAGCTGCCAAGAAGGACTGAGCCCCTCCGGAATAAAGCTTTGCAGAAAAAAAAAAAAAAAAAAAAAAAGAGCTGGAGGATGATGGAGGTAGCTGTTTGACTGAGTATCTCCGAGACACACCAAGTAACAGGTAGTGTCCCTCCTACGGGGCACTCTGTGGTGTGATCCCTAGCTTATCCATCTGTCTGAGTCAACCGCAAACTTCAAAGTTTCAATTAAGATCTATTAATCAATCTTACAGCTAATGCAATGCATAGAAGAATGTCACATAATAAATGTGACAGATCACATTCAAATTTTAAAATCATTTCTGTTGTAGATAAAAACCAAAATGCTGAGATGTAAAGCAGAAAGAGAAGCTTCCATATGAAGGATTAATCAAGCGCATTTACCCAGGAGAAGGGACACCATTTCCATGACAGCAGTTATGGAAAAAATGAAGCAGGTTGTAGGCAGTCCTGCCAGGAAGTCTCAGCATTAGCCTTTTGTGTGACGCAGCTTCTAAAACAGTTCATGTAAATTAAGTTTCATTAATAGAAGTGGGGACAAGGTCTGGATCCAAAGAGGTAACACTATGTCAGAAAGAACCACATCATAAATATAGGATTTGATCTTCAGAAAAGCATAAACTAATCCAAAATATCCAAATGAGACTGGATGAGGTATGTCCTAAAAATCAATTCAAAATTTCTTGTGCAGAATAAAAAGATGTTTTCAGTGTTTTTCCAAAGGGAAGACCCAGCACCGAGGCACAGAAGTAATGAGGAGATACAGCGTGTTTGCCTAATAATCAGAGCTGATTAACAATGTCCTAGGACACAATGTATGACAATGAGCTCTTGTTCACAGAAAAGTCAGGCAGAGCGCAGACAGCTCATGGAAGGCTTGCTGGAGAAGGGGCTCCTATTTGCATGAGAGGTTGAGTAAGATGCTGAACAAGGATTCAGTCTAGTTCTAAGATTATGTAGTCACCGAGTAAATCAACATACTTAAATCACTGCGGTGGGACTGGAGACTATTTTTGCATTAGTTCCACTAGAGTGTAAACTGCTGTTTTACTACCTCACCTTCTTCTAGCTACAGTGGTTTGCTTTTGTTTTTGTGTTTTTGAGGCCAGGTCTCACTGTGTAGTCCAGGCTGGCCTTGTGGCTGAGGGTGGCCTTGAACTCATGGGGACCCTCCTGCCTCAGCCTCTGGAGTGCTGGGATTATAGGCAGGCACTACCATGCCTGGTTTAGAGTGGTCTGAATGAATGTGCCTAAATTAGGAAATGCTCCTGTCTAGAGCGATTCCTGACTTGCCTTAGGACTGGACACCCACTATGTGTAGGTGACCTCTGTACAAACGGCTCACTCACATGGGTAGCAAGTCCAGCTGCACTCACATGAGCCTGGCAGGGGACACTGTGCCACCCTTGCTGCACTTCTTAGCACCATGGCGGCAAGCAGGCCTAACCATTCACTATCTGGATCACTGCATGGTGTACTTTATTATCCTGTGCCTTTTTCAAAATTTTCTTCCTGAATCTTGAACTAAGTAAAATATTGAATAAGACTTTTAAGTAATCAGAGTCACTACAATAAAATATACATGGTGTTTTTCTTTAAATGATTTTTATCAAGAAAAAGCAGCAAAACCGAGGCAAGCTTTAAAACAAATCATCAAGACCACTCCTAGCTCCACAGAAAACTCTTTCTTTAAAAAAATGTATTTAGTGCGGGGAATACAGCGTCTCACTACATAGATCGGACTCGTGGAGATTCTGCTTTCTGTCTCCCAAGTGCTGGGATCACAGGCGTGCACCACCATGCCTGCCCAGTCTCAATCACCATCTCAGCACGCCCCGGGGAGTGGGGCCCGTAGGGCATTCTGGGGATCGAACCCGCTGCTGCGCTCTGCCTAAGCACGTGCTTTAGTCCGCTGAGCTCTCTGGCAGGCCCCGCTGTCTCATTTTTGGGATAATCAATTTTATATTTTCTCTGCTTTATGCCTCTCCTACTAGCTCACAGGCATCTTAGGAATCCAAGGTGAAAGACATTACAAAGACCACTTCCAGCAAGCGGGAAGCACGACCTAAATTACCTTCATGTTCACTGATGGGTCACCTTGTAGCAATGTCCACTCATACTGGACGATGGCGTGGTCATCTGAGCTTTCGCGGCCATCCAGAATCACCTCATCTGCGGGCAGATGCAAAACCACATCCTGTCCAGCCTTGCTGAGCGGAGGCGCATCCTGGTCTATGAAAGAAAATAGTCATAATAAAGAAAAGGCTCCCTATTTTTTTTTCTAATTTATGAATAACTACCTTATCTGCTGAATAGATTTGATCCAGCAAAGAACTTCTAAAAGAATGAGAATTTGTTTTCATTGTATCCTCTTTCCATAGTAAACAATAACAATGCATAATGAATACAGAATTCGGCTAGATACGTGCATTAGAGGAAGTTCGGAGCATTGGCTATTAACAATAGCTACGCACAAAGTTGTGGGTATGAGACAATGTGCTGGGGCCCACCAACATGTCAATTAAAAGTAGCTTTATTAAAGATATATACTGGTTTAGTAACAAGAGGATGTTTTGTTCTGAGTTTCATTAATTCCTGCAGTGAATTTTTCACTCACTATATAAATGACATGAAATTCTAAGTTCTAGTAAATGATTTTTTAAAGATTCCTAAACTAACCTCAGTAAAACCAAATTTACTTTTCATTCAGATTTTATTTTTTTCTAATCAAGTTTTCAAAGTAAGAGTGATACAGAGCGTTCCATGGAGGGGAAACAGATTAAATTTGGGGAGTTAAGGCAACCTAGGATCCACACTAAAGAAAGTCCACACAGAAATTTTCTGAAAACTAGTTTTAGCAAAATAAAAATTTAGAGAACCCATTAACTTGTTTTTATAACAGGATTAGCGCAGTGACTTTCTGTTGAGATGTGCTAAGAGCAAAACACACATATATGGAAATGTAAACATCAGGCAAAGAAAGATTTGTATAAATACATATTTTTTTACCTTATCGCTTTATTTAAAAATTTAAAAAATATCTTTTATTTGGTACAGGGTCTCACTACACAGCTCGGATTTAGAGTGATCCTCCTGTCTCAGCCTCTGCAGCAGTGGGATTAAGGCGTGTACCACCATGCTGGTTTCGGTGGCTGACACAGCATGTGGTACTGGGGATCGAACTCCGGTCCTCATGCTTCCCAGGTAGGCACTTAGACTCTCTCCTCAGCCCAATATATATATTTTTTAAATCACAATTTTTTTTGGTGGTACTACAGATTGAACTCAGGGCCTTGTGTATGTTAGGCAAGTGCTCTACTACTGAACTATATCCGCTCGTAAAAATTTTGTTTCATTTTGTATTTTGAGAAAGGGTCTCGTTATGAAGTTTAGAGTAGCCTTGAACTCACTTTGTAGCCCAGGATGGCCTTGAACTCACAATGATTCTCCTGTTTCTGCCTCCTGAGTGCTGGGACTGCAGGACTACTCCACCAGCATGGTTAAGTATAAATATTTATTTTGTATAAATATCCTAATACTAAATTTATTGAGATCATAAGGCAAAGTCACATTTGCCCTCTGTAATGACCAGAGGTGCTCAAAGTGGTGGCCATTAGCTTCCTGACATTTCTTAGTAGGGTGAACTGCTAAAGTGTGTATACATTTTTTTTTTTTTTGTAGACTCTTTGTCTTTGATCTAGAATAAGGCTAAAATAATTCAAAGCTGTAGGGAATACAGTTGCTTACTGTATGCAATTGTTTCAAGAAAATAATTTTTTTTATAGTGTAGTTTAGATGCTTAATGTCCTCCAAAGGTCCATGTGTAAAGGCAGTGGTCTTTGGGGTGACACCACTGGGAGGTGGTGGAACCTTCACAAGGTGGGGCCTATTAGGAGGACACCAGAGATTTAAAAAATATGTATAGGGGGGCCGGGGAGATGGCTCAGTGGAATAAGCGCTTCCCTGGCAAGTGCAAGGGCCTGAGTTCAATCCCTGATTCTGACCAAAAAAAA